TGATGAATAAGGCTAGGTGCATGTTAGTCAATTTAGGACTTGCTAAAGGGTTTTGGGCTGAGGCATTATGCACAACAACATATTTGATGAATAGATCTCTATCTAGTTGTCGAGTTTAAGACTCCTCAAGAACTATGGACAGGGAAGCCACCAAATTTAACACATATTAGACTGTTTGGGTGTGTGGCGTATCCACGCCAAACTGAGGGCAAGTTGGTGCCTAGGGATATTAGATGTGTTATGCTAGGCTATCCTAAAGGGGTTAGAGATTACAGGTTGTGGATTTAGGGGAACTTGGTATTACGATCATTAACAGCAAGGATGTTATGTTTAATGAATCTTAAATGCCTTGTTTAAAATTCAGACAACATGATGATTCTGAGGAAATTGGATGTCACAAGAAATTTCAGAATAAGGTGAAGTTGGCAAAATATGACTTCACTCATTCCGATGAGAATGAACCTGTAATTGATGAGGTTGATGTACCTCATGGTGAAAATGAAACGGAAACGAACACCCCGATAATTGAAGAGAATTCTATCCAACATTACAAATTGGTTAGGGATAGAGGGAGTTTGGTTAATTTGCCTAATGGTCAAAGAATAGTAAAATGCAAGTGGATTTACACACTAAAAGAGAGGTTTGACTATATTGAGATATTTTCCCTTGTCATTGAATATAAAATAATTAGATTGTTTTTAGCATTAGTAGTTCAATTCATTTGGGAACTTGAATCACTAGATGTTAAAACTGCTTTCCTACATTGGGAATTGAAGGAAAATATCCATATGAGTCAACCATTAGACTTTGAGGTGAAGGACATTGTTTGTAAATTGAAAAGGTTTAATAGGTTGATCCTTAAAGGATGTGTGGATGTTGACTTTGTGCGTGGCAAAGATCACAGGAAATCCATTATTACCTACTTCTTTACGTTGGAAAATGACTGCATAAATATGAGAAATGTGAAAGAATGGATTTGGTTGAAAGGGATTTTGTGTATTTTGAATTACTTAGTAAAGGAGAACACCAGCACCTTGTATAGGTTGGGTGCTTGCCTGAACCTGCGATACTCTTTCAACGGTGCCCAGATGCTTCCTGTTTTCAAGATTTTTCTAGGCCTCATGAATTTTGATTATATTTTCCATTCTAAAGCCAAGGGCGTCCTAGAAGGATATGAGCTACATCCATGGGTAAGACATCACAATCAACCTCATCCTTATAGTCACCTAATTGGATTGGAACAAGAAAAAGATATATTCGTTAGAGAATGGAGATCGAAAAAAAGTCTTTTGGTAGGCGATTTTTCTCTCTCTTTCTGTATCGGAAAGTTTGTGTATGATACTTGCATTACTCTCATTGTTAGTAAAATTGCATTGTTGGTTATTATAAATTTTGCTCATTATAGAGGTAAACATATGTTAAGGTGAAGTATCATCTTCTAAACGGATAAGACAGCTTCAGGTGAAGTTAAATCTTGAGAAAATTCATGTTGATGTATGTCCATTTGATATGAGACTTAAAATGCTTTCAACTAGTATGTTTAAATTTTGGTTTATCAATTCCGTATATTGAAAATGGATAATTCTTTTGCAGGTACCGGGCAGTGATGATGATCAGTCTTACTATGTAAACCATGCAACTAAGAGAGTCGATGTATTTAGTGAAACAAGGTGAAGATTGAAAGTGTAAAAGGCGTGTTTCACTAAATTGGAAACTTTGGATTTATTTAAAAGAAGTGCTACTTTGCCTTTTTAATTGGTTTGGAGGGCCAAATGGCAACCACCAATTGGTTATTTTACTAAAATGAGGATTGTGCTTCTTCAACTCCATTGTGAGGCATTGAATCATAATGTGTGGCTGGGATTCAATCTTGATTATACATGGCTTTTATGACTCTTGTGCTACCCGTTTTTAGTGGCTTGAGTTCTCATTCTTTCTAGAGATTTTTGAAAGGCGTCTCTCTGTCTCTCTCTCTCTGAAATTCTTCCAATTTCTATTATGTTTCATTGTGATTATTAGAGAGGTTAAAAAGAATTGTATAACCCTTGTGTTATAGACTTGAAAGAAAGGTTTCGGTCAATTGTTTTTTGACCGTGGTGCACTGGTTTAGCTGTGTTTGTTCTTGTCAAGTTTAGGGTTGATTTTTGTATTTGGTTCTTGAGATCTTTGTGTAATCTATCTTTAGAACCTTAAGAGAAAGTCTGATTGGTTCCTTTGTACATTGATCTCTTTGGAAGGTTGGTTTTACACAGTGGATTGGACTGATCCTGAGCCCTTATTTGGGTGGATTGGGTGATCATTTTTGGTGTTCTTATTCTTTACATTTTCTGCATTTTAGCTACTGTCATAAAATTTGGCCAATAGGTGTTGTGTGATAGTGGGGAAGGAAATTGATCTCGCAACATTCAAAGAATATATTTTTTGGGTAATACTCACTCGTACTAAACCAAAATTTAACCAGCTGATAGCATCACCCGACTTGTTATTTAACTGGGTGTAGTTAATCCAAGATCTACGTCTAAGGGGTTTATGAATTTCAAATCATCACTAATCTTAACTATCTGTGTTCCAGAAGTACCAGTAGAACACAGTAACTATTATCTTCCACCCTCTTTAAGGTGAAAGGAACAACCGAACAAGTGACTCAAAACTCAGTGAAATTGAAGGAATTTCCATGTTCTCCTCTTTGACCCAAGGTCCAAAAAATTATGTCCCTATCACCACTGGAAAAAGAAAAAAAAAAAAAAAAAAAAAAAAATCTCAAATAATATGCCGTTCTGTAGAAACAACCCACAAACATCACTTTGAGTTCAATCAATCTAGACCTCAACAAACAACTTCCATTCAAGAAAGATCAAACCCCAATAAAAACTGAAATTAAGCACCCGTTAAGCCCCCATTTTTTCTAAATTTTAATGTTTGGAATAATATTTTTTTGGAAAATGCGTTGTTGAAAAGGAATGAAAAAGATTGCGCAATAGAAAATAAGATTTGGAAAAAAATGAAAGAAAATGGGGGAACTGGGTGTAAATTTCTCAATTACTATTCCAGCAAAAATTCTCAAACACTATCTGAGAAATAAAAAAAAACCCACAACATCACTCGAAAAGCAATTTACAATCATGAAAAGATCAAAAACTAAGATAAGTCAAAATCTTGAACCTCTAAACATAGTATACAGTTACTGGCTTTCAGCAGTAAAATATTTGGATTTCGACTCAAGGAAGCAATTATTCCTTCTCAAAATGACATAAAGAAACAAATATCAGAAGAACTGAATCTTTAAATTAAGAAAAATGGACAAAAACAGTAGACCGGAGTTTACCTGATCAAGATGCCATTAGACGAAATTGGGTCAGGCTCAGAGTAATGATGTGGGTGGTAGACGGAATAAGGGCGCCAGAAAAGCTAGTCTGAATTCTGAATAATAGGCGAGAATATGAATTCTTATAAGAGATTTTTTGGAGTTGTTTGACTCGTGCTATGTTTTGCCCTCATTTTTTGGAACGCTAAGCCCTTGTTTGAACGAGTTAATTGTTTGAATGTTCACTAAATTTAGATTCATATTTTTAATTGATTACTAAAATTTGAAATGTCGAATTTTGATAATTAAATTTAGGTCCATATCTTCGATTGCTCAATGAAATTTCGATGAACAATCTAAAATATGAATCTAAGTTCAGTGATCAAAACTCAATATTTTAAATTTTAGCGACCAATAAAAAATATGAGCCTAAATTTAGTGACCATTAGAACAATTAATTCTGTTTGAGCCTATTTTAAGTGAAAGAATGCATTTTTAAATAGTAATTGATGGAGAATGCGTGATTAAAAATTTAGGAAAATTTTGAATTTGTTTATAATATTATTTTATTGAAAAATATGTGATTGAAAATGAATTTTGAAAAAATGAATTTTTGAAAGAATGTGACTCAAACAAGGGCTAAATCACACATTCTTTAAAAAATTGTTATTTTAAAATATATTTTCTTACAAAAATAAGCTCAATTAGATCACTCTATGTTCCTTTTTCTACTTTTTGAAGTCCTTTTTTTTGGAAGGGAGATTTTTGAACATAATATTTGTAAAAATATGGCATGTTCAATTTCCAAAAATTCAAATTGAAATCATTTTGACAATCTTATCAAGTTCTACCAAGATCAGATTTGAAAGAGAAGATTTACTTTCCGAAATTCCAATATCATGATTCCTTTAGAAAGCTAAAGTTTAATTATCAAAGTCTCCTTTAGGTTAAATCGAAGAGATCGAAGTGAAGTCATGAATTAACTATTCAAATGAATTGAACCTCGATACGACATTCATCAAAAAGATATGACCATCTCTTTAGGTTGCATTACCTTCATAGACCTTAATCATGTCAAGCTAAAGGCAACTGCTTTCTTGGATGAGCATATATTATTAGAGATCATTTTGGTTTGCCTATTGTTGCTAGGATATTTTAGAGAAGCTTGTAACCTAAGCTTATAGAGAGACATGAAATCTTTCAAGTAAGAATGCTCAAAGGGACTTTGGAAGAAGAGCGAATTAGAATTTTGATGGTAACTTAACTAGTTTATCGATTTGCTAAAAGTAGAGAAGACTCGATAAATGTTTCTAGCTTTGTGCTGGTTGTGTCAAAGCTCGACTTTCATTCCCACTATTTGCTTACTGAGGAATAGAAAGAGGATTGGGACCACATCAATTTGGATTGGGTATGGCAAGGAACATGCTCATACAGTTTAATACAATAAACTACTTTTGTCGACTCCAAATTTAATTTGTTGTTATCATCCATTTGCAGGCGTTATGCTTGAAAGTATGCATTTTACTATTGACGATGAAATTAATGAAAGTCTTGAACCTCGGTGCATGTTTGGTATTCTAAATTGAACACGACAAGATAGGATATTAATTGATAAGATTTTAATTTTTAATTTTATTATTATAATTATTTTGATATTGTGGTGCACCGTGGAGTTCATGACCTAATCAAAATGTTGTAAAAGATAACAATAACTTCATTTACTTAGGAAACCAAATAGAATACATCCTTTCACTAGATGCAAATAGTTGCATTTGACAGAAAGCTAAAGTTACAGGTATGCTACAAAGCTATGCTCGGGGGACGGGTCGTATTGCAGATCGACCTGCCTGAAGTTGCAACATGCTCCTAAGTCCTATCCCGGAGCTAAGTTTATTCGTCTGATTATTATAAATATTTAAGACAAGTTCTTATAGGGTTTCAGCCGTTGAACCAGTGAGCCGCTTAGGTGGAGGGACATGACTTCATTGGTTGATCCCACCAGTTCTCCGCCGATAAACACCGCTGGGACGGGGCCATTGCAACCCATCCTTAGTAGTGCCTTCTCAATTTCCTTTCCCTCTGGATCATGATCGATTTCATGAACATAAGGATCTATTCCAATTTCTCGAAACAACATGTGTACAGTATAGCATAAGCAACATGTGCTTTTGCTGAAGATAATTACTCCCTTTTCTGATGCCAATTTTTTTACCCTCTCCATCTGAGATGACTCGTCCCGTTCTCTTCAGATATATCAGATCGAATATAACAAGATTTTTTTTTTAAAAAAATAAAAATTATTTTTTGGGATTTTGAGATTATACAATTCCAAGTGGTGTTCTCTTCTAATCTATTTATATATAACATTAGAGAAGTGGACTTGTTTTTCCAAACTAGAACATTCAAAAGAAGGATGGGCTTTTCTAAGATGCCGAAACCCACTAAAGTAACTTTTTCGAAGATAGATACTATATTTATAAATATGTTTTGTTCTGCGCAGAACAAGTTGAAGTCTATCGACGTCGTTGATAATATAGTACGTATCAGAGAAGTTAGAGAAGGGAAAAAAATTCAAGTTTTGAGTACACGCTACCCATTTAATATGAAACTTGTTAGAATATCACATTTTTCTTTATAACGGGTTAAGAAATGAATCAAGCATCCAGGTAAACTTAAGCTTTTAGACGCGATACTAACAAAAACAGATTATTAATCTTGCTGCTGAAATGTCTGTCAGATCATGAATAAGTGAAAAATTGAGTTGGTTTTTGGAATACGTTGCATGGCTACTGACCACCCAGTGTTCATCAGATTGATAGTAAACTTGCAACAAAAGAAGAAATCTTGCAGAATTAGGTGGTCAATTTATTCTGCAGATTCTTAGTTCCTGTCATTCTTGAAATATATTCGTCTGATTAAAAGATCAAGAATAAGATGGCTTTTTTGGGTGGCTGTGATTCTTGCTGGGTTATGCAAATATCTACCAGTCTACTCACCATTCAGCATGTCTGTGAATCTCTCATAGTTGGCTGAGAAACGAAAGTTGAGCGAACAAATGGGACTAGATACCCCGACAAGCATCTATTTCTTGCTAATCATGAGCTGTTTCCGCCATGTGAAATGAGAGGTATTCTTAGGGTATCATACATAACTTCCAATTCAAAATAGAACAAAATGAGACTGTATTAATTACGGTAACTACGTCACCCATAGACATTTAAAGAATCTAAAGGTGCATGAATCACATTCTGCGAAATGTCATTCTTGTCAAGATTGTATATCTTTTTTTTAACCTACTCAATTCCAATTCCATTTCCATTTGGACCTCTTAAATGTTCTAGCTAGGGAGAACGCAAACCCCAAAAACGTATAGTTTCTTCTCCAAAAATGACTTCTTCGATTGGTGAACATACAGATTTTTTACTTGTAGGTCCTTGAACGGATCCTACATACACTAGAGGACATAAGGGGTGGCATCAGGTCACATGAACCCCAACATTTGGGCAATTTATATTTTTCTTATTATTATTATTTTATTTTTTTACCACCATTAGTTCTATGTTTGTCTCAAGGTCATTATGGAATGTCAAACGAGATCGAAATATTGCATTCTTAATACCATTTTGAATTGCTCATAGGCCTAGTTTTCACGTCATTAACGACGCACGAAACAACTAATCATAGTAAATATTATGGCTTGTCAAAATAGGCATTTCTAATTTTAAAAAAATTTCAACGATCATACGCTAGTTAAATCTACAAATCGCCTACATTATCTTAAAGCTCATTTTGAGAATTATATCTTAGACATATCAAATAGTCCAAACGAATATCGAAAATAGTTAAAAGTGCGTCAAACATGCGTCTTAAAAGATGCATCCAACTCGTCTTTTCTTTAAAAAATTTTAATTATTTCATTAACGTTTAATATTTGTGCACAAAAAAATTCACAATATCATTTACATCATTTTATTAGAAAATTTTGGATAGGGTATGGCGTATAAATTTTTCGGAATATTACATCCAAAAAAAGTCATACTCCATGTAAATTTACATGAGATATGGCTTTTTTGAATTTAAAATTACAGATATAAAATTCCTGATGACTTTTTTGTGAGTTTGATTATATCCTTCTTAACTCAAAATATATGTGTCCGCCACTGGCCCACTGCCTATATACATGAACCCCAAGAGGATGATCTATAACTAGAAAAGTAAATGCATGAGTTTGAGAAGATTTTGTTCCAAAGTCCGTAAAACTTTTTAGGATAAACAATATTATTGAGTGATCACAATTCAGCCTATTCTATTTACTTGTTCGGTTGTTATACAAGAATCAAAATAACGAAAGTTATATTTTTCAAAATGACAAACTTGAGTAAGAAAACATGATCTTATGTACGACTTATTTTTTTCGAATTATGAATATGGAAAAATACGAAAATCAATTTACAATGTAAATAATTATAAGCAACTATTCATGATAATCGTTAGCCATCCTTTTTCCTATTGATTGAAATGAAAGGACATTAAAGTGTAAAGAAGATGATTTAGATGTACACGAATCTGTTGTTTCAATTTGTTGCCTCAAAAGAAAAACATCAAGCAATTTGCTGCCGGGAACTTTGCATGTTTTGTTGAACGAGGAGGAGACAATTGGGAGAACAAATGTCCATTCTTAGGGGAATCTTTTCTTGTGATTTTTCCTTTTCCCTTTTCATTATATTTATTAAGAAAGAGAAAAACAAGCCGTAATTTTTACAAGAACTTAAAAGACCGTTGTTTACTTTCAAGAAAGTTATTGTCGTTCGTCTGTTTTCAAATAATTTAATATGGTATTGCAGAAAACAAAGTTCTTTGACTAAGGAATTGAGCTTGGGGTAGAGGGTACGCCTACCGAATACTCACAATAAGGATGGGTTGGTAGGTTTTTTGGGTAATTTTTTATACAGATGGATCCTGACCCATCTAGAGATGTCAAACGGATCGAGCGGCTAGTCGAAATAGGGCTCATGGATAACTCGGGCCCATAAAATCACGAGCTCGAACGCGAGCCGAGCCTGCTTGACTCGCCTATAGTGCGAGCCGCTCGTGAGCGAGCTCGCCAAGCTCGTGGCTAGTCCCTACAGTGACCAAAACGGTCACTTTTTAAATAAAGTGACCGTTTTGGTCACTAAGAATTGGGTCATTGGATTTTTCAGTGACCGTTTGGGTCACTAAACTTTTTTTCTTCTATTATAAATACATCTTTAATTCCCTATTTTATTTATATCAATTATCTCTTCATTCTCACTTTTCAACTCTCTCAACTCTCTTTTATGCCAATTATCGAGTTTTTATTCTCTTGTGATGTTGTGCAAAATATATAATATCGATACTTTTTTTTTTTTTACAGTTTATTCAGTTATAATTTCAATTCATCTAATTCTCAATTCTTACTACATTTATATTCTTACTAGTTATTATATTTGGATTTCATCATAAACAAACAAACAAATGGATCAACTCTCATTTGTTGAGAGTTTATTCGATACGAGATGTGGGTCACATGGCGAATCGCCTAGAACGCCGCAAAGTTAATTTCCAAATGAAGTTATTCGTGTAAATGATGTACACACACCTGAAGATGTTCACATTCACGGTCATGGAAGCCACTATCCATTGATTTTGATGATATTAACGTTCCCGAAGCGGAACATGAGAATGAAGATGTCGAATTAAACATCTCAAATGCGAGGGGAAAGCGAAATGGCAAAAAAAAACAAAATGTTGGGATCAGTTTAAGTTGATTTCCACGAGAAAAGTCGTCGATGACCTCGCAAAATTTAAGGCAGTATTTACAAAGATTGACATGGTAAAAAGGAATTGATACCACCCATCTCAACTGTCACTACAAAACATGTGCGTCTAGACATGGACTTCTTCCAGCTGGTCAAACACAATTGCAATTTGGCAGTCCGTGCGCTGATTCTACGACTTCACCCTTATCCACGTAGGTGTATTCGGAGGACAATACTCGAACCGAAATGATGAAATTTGTTGCCACCACTGAGTTGCCTCTGGCTATTGCTGACAACCAACACTTTGTCTCGTTCGTGAAAGAATATCTGCAACCAAGGTACATTGGGGTAAGTCGAAACACTCTTCGTGCCGATACAATACAATATTTCATACATTCAAAACAATAATTAATTATGAATTTGCAACAATATGGGGATGTTATATCTTTAACTTCTGATATATAGGAAGGGGTTAATAAAATAGTATATATAGCTGCAACCGCACACTATATAGACCCACCTTGGTGGATGCATAAAAAATTATTGATTTTAGAATTATTGAGATTCCTCACAATGCTAATAATATATATAATGTTATTATCAGTAATGCTAGAGAATATAATTGCAAGACTAAAATTCGATCTTTTACTTTTGATAATGCTAGTATTAATAAGGTAGTCGTCCATAAATTGTGTAGGGTACATCAACTTGATTTCTATGGGTATTTATTTTATATTCGTTGTGTGTACCATATATTGAATTTAATTGTATAAGATGACTTAAAACATATAAATGATTAATTTCAAAAGATTAGGAACGCATTAATATATATTAGGATATCTCTTAGTAGAAAATAAGCATTTGAATATTTTTGTGCTGAACTAGGGGCGACAACTGCTAAAATATTTGTTAGCGACGTATGCCATAGATGGAACTCTACTCACTTGCTATTAAAGTCATGTGAATGTTTCGAACATTTAATAACTGACTTTTATAATAATAGACATGTTAGAAGCGATGATGATAATATGTTGAATAAATTCGATTGGGTTTTAGTTTTGAAAGTTAAACGATTTTTGGCATCTTTTTATGAGATCACAAAAATTTTATCAAGCGTTTATTATCCCACATTCTGTATGGTGCTTAAACGTCTTTATATAATTACAAGAACATTCCATAAATATAAAAATGGTCATGATTTTAGCGAAATTATAATTGTTATGAAATTAAAGTTTAAAAAATATTGGAACCACTGCCTATATTATTTCCTTTAGCATGCGCATTGAACTCTCGATATAATATTTCGGGAATTAAATACGTAATTGATCAAAATCAATAAAGTCTTAATACTCGATACACCTATCACCTATAAAAATTTAGAGCAAACATTATGTGGAATGTATGATTTATACGCGGAACGAATGGATGCGAATGTTAGTCGGGTACCCTCTGCACCTACTCCTTCTGCTGAAATTAAAGAAAATGATGTCGAAATAATAAATTTATTTCAAGATATTAATACATTTAGATATGATGCAACTGTAATGTGTTTAT